ACCCACACAATTTTAAGGAATTAGAAAAAAACAGGGCAACTACCAGAAAGTGCAAAATATGAAGAAGGCAGCTTTCAGCTCCTTCAGCATGGAATAGAACATTCAATTCTGAGTTTTTACCATTGAACTTGAATAGCCTGCACATTAAAAAAAAATTTTTTTTTTAAATATAGAAACCCCAATTCTTAAAATCCAGGAAGCATGCAGCTGGTTAATGTTAACAAAAGACCTTGACAGGAACATGTAAACTATATTGAATGTCATGCTTGGGGCCTATCTGCCAGCAAGACTGTAGAGTTGTCTCCTGGAGAATGAATACTGTCCACTGCTATGGGGTAACTTTCCGCAGCCTTCATTCTTTCACACAGTCCACGGAACCTGCGTCTAGGTAGAGAACATGCCCTGCTCTGCTGCTTGTGATGTCCCTGTGCGATCTCTTCCGCTGAGTCCTTATGAAGCTACAAGTGACAAGTCCAAGATTCTGCTCCCTGAGGACACGTTATGTGAGACATAGCACGATTTTTCTTTTCTGCCTATCCTGAATGCTCTGTGAAACTTAACCTTAAATACCATCATGGAATAATCACAAAAAAAAAAAAAGTTTTCTAAAGGCCTTATATACTAATAAAGGACAGTGGCGCTTCCAACCTTCTGAAATGCTCTGAAAACCAACTTTTCCAATACTAAATACAACAAAATAACCTTCATAAAATATAACTTTTCTCCATTTACACTTTTTTAAAAGGATTAGTGTCCTATGCTTTTCAAGCACAGGAATCTGTGAAATAGCTCCTAACATGGACAGATTTTTTTTTTTTAATACATAACTTACGAGCCTGGAGAGTTTTAACTCAAGTCCAGTCTCTAAACAAGGAATATTCTTGTTTACTTTAAAAATGGAAACAACACACAGTTCCATTATAATTGTTAAAAAGTTAGCTTTACAAACATGGGAATTTTAATTTAAAAAAAAAATCTCAACAAAACTATACAGTGTACAAATTACTGTCTACAAGGTAGGCGGTTCGTTACGAAGACCTCGTTCTTCTCACTACTCGCGGCTTCACAGACTCATTCACATACTTTTAAATGGAGCTGCCCACCCGAACATTACCCGATAACTATATTGCTATAATTAAGGTTTTGCCATGTCTTTATGTACAGTCTCCTTCACTGCCTCTCAGGTTTTTTTTTTTTTTTTTTTTTTTTTTTTTCCCTTAGGCAAGCCTTGACTGCTCACGTCACTCCGGGGAAACACACTTCAGAGGCACTGTGAGTGGTGGGCTGCAAAGCAATACGACAAAGGCTGGACAGTGCCACGAGCTGGTGGCTGGAGACGCCACCCCCTACAGATGCCCTTGGGTGACCTTCACCATCCTGAAGCTCTGCAGTCTGGGTAAGGAAGGGGCGTGCAAGATCTGCAAAAGGGGGGCCCTTCGTCAGAATATACTTCCTGGTTTAAAAAAGAATAATAGGAGGCTAAAAGTGGATTTGAGATTATCTATAGTAGTGCTTTTTAATAAGTTTATCTCCAAAGGAAAGAAGAAAAATTACTTAGAAAAAGAAGAAACACTTGCCCCAGGCCTCTGTGCCCAAGAGGCGGGCAGGGATGCCACAGTGTGCCATGTCGTTTAGCAAGAATTGTTCATTCACTGGCAATCAGGAAAGGAGTCTGCCTGGAAAGAATACTGTGTCCTGTATGGTTGCATTCTTCACTAAATAGGTCAGAAATACATAAAGAGCTTGGTTGAGAGTATTTGTTATCTGCAGAGTAAGTATCACAGATAGAGTGGGACTTCCTTGGAACCTGTGCCCCAGAATCCCACTGTGATATCCAGCATGTGGACATCAAACTGAATGGACTAGTCAGATACAATTCTCAGGCCTATGAGCATTGTTCTAAAGTACTCATTATGAAATGATCTGCTATGTGTACAAGTGACTATTTTATTAGGCCATGGTATGGGGTCAGGAGAGCCTCAAGACAACCTACTGTGTGTGTCGCTAATTCTGAAAGATGTCCTTGGAGTAATGAATACACTCAATAGGGCCAGGTTGGGGAAGACAAAATAAAATTGGCCTCCATTTACCTCTAGCCCTCAGGGGAAATTAACTCAAATCTATATTTGAAGTACTATCCCTTAAAAAGAAGTCCCTCCCATCATTATCAAATAGTCTTAATTCATCCACAGGAAAATTAATCGCTTAAAAGTCTATATTTCTCTCTGCTCCAGTTTTCAGTTTACAAGGGCAGGTAAAATAAAAGGATTTACTTATTTTGTTCTTTAAAAACTGAACTTTGATTTTAATCTATCAGTCCAAATACATTCAATAAGAGTAACCCTCTCTCTAGTCAACTTTCCGAATGTCAAAAAACAAAATCCCAAGTGCACTGCCATCCACTTGAAGTAGTGAGTCACAGGAACATCATATCCTGTCATTAATAAAACGAAGTGGAGCCGGGAAGGAACAGGGAACCCTCCCTCCAGACGGGTGAACGTGTTTGTTAGAAGAAAGCATATTCCTGTGTTAAACTCAAAAGTGTGAAACAGCCAACATCTGCTATGTGGGCACTTCAAGAAATGTCTTTGCCAAATATGAGACAGGCTCACTTTCCACTGTGGATTCAGAACTTTCAGGAAAAACCATCAACAACAACTAAAATAAGACAGGGCAGTTCTTCCAAGTCTGCCTCTAGGAGGCTTCGCTGTGCTTCCTTTTCCTCCCTGTTTTCTTAGCTGGAAAACCGGAAAGGAGTCCAGCTTGCGCCCCAGGTGGGGAAGCAAGGGTGGGGGGACCTGTGTAAGCTGAAGTTTGTCACAGTAGGCAGAACAGTCGCTTTGCAGCCCAGGCCCATCTCAGGGAGCACTGCTTCACAGCTACACTGTAAAGTGTTAAAAATCCTCCCACCCACCCCAGAATATATATATATATATATATATATATTTAAAAAAAAATCCCCTGTCCATCTCTCAGTACACAAAAGGACCTCATCACACTGCAAAAATAGCAGTACCCACTTTGGTCAATTAAAACAAACAAACAAATAAACAAACAAACAAAAAAGCATACATTGTTTCTTTTTAAATCTGTGTACTTACCTATAATAACCAATACAGCTAAAGCACTACCTACATAGGCAAAACTTGGTATTGCATAATTCGTATAAATTTGAAACCCCTCCCCCCAAATATTAATTGGAAGATGAAAAACATGAAAGGTTAATAGAAAAAACACCAAAATACTGAAAATATTGCTGGTCGATTACAATTTTTAAGCGGCAACTATACACAGCCATGATATGCTTTATAAATGTGAGATAAAGGTGTAACTGTCTAAAAAATCCATGATGTCACACATTTTTTTTTTCTTCGTCTGGAGTACAAAATATTTTGTCATAAAAATGGTAAAGATTTAAAACGATAATAAATGCAGCAAAACAAGTGTAGTGATGTCACTTTTGTGGTTTTTTTTTTTTTTGTCTTTTGTTTTTTTAGATTTCAAGGCAAGGCACGTAATGTGGACATTATATCTTCGTGCAAATTAGGATATCTGGAAAGAGTACTTTTAATTAAAATTTTAAGAGACATAGAGGCAACATGTGTCTGCCCATGCACACTATGAATCTGTCAGTACGAGAAATGTGTTGAACAAGGCTAATGTCTGAAAGCACCATGCACGTTTCCAGCACCCCGATGGCACTTCTCTGAAGAGCGTGTTTTCCTACCCTATGCCCTGGAGTTCCCAGCCTGTACACGGGAAGCTTTACCCTTGTGACATGGATTTACCTGCCTCTTTGTCTCTACGATGCAGATTTTATAGAACCATTTGTACACCCTATGGGTTCTTGATGCAACCAGTAACTTTAAATAAATAATTCGACCTCCGAGGAGGGTGCAGCTAAGCCAACCTAAGTGCTGTGTTTTCATTCATTTTCTTTTTTCCGTTCAAGCACACGATTTGTCTTGATTTAATGCCTTTTTAAATGCCCTCAAAAGCTGAGGGGAAAATAAATTCGCTCAAAATTATTTTAAATTCTTTTTAATCCCCTCAATTTAGAGTCCAAGGGCTGAAGGACTTATAATCACGATTCCCCTTTAGATATAAATTTATAAATTGCACTTGCCTCTGTTAAGTGTTTCTTTTGTGGGGAAAATATTATATTAATTTTTACTGTTGCATGCAGAGGTAACACTTTACCCACATAGAGGCATTTCTTCCATAGAGCCTTTGAGTTCAAACCTTTTTTTTCTTTTTTTCCTATTTTTCATTTTTTTTTTTTTCTTTTTTGAGATTTCAAACTGGGTTACACACTGGAAAAGGCTGGGTTAAGGGCCAAAATTTAATAAATCTGTACGGATAACTAAAGGCTACAGAGATTTTATATATATATTTTTTAACTTTTAGAAATCAGAGTGCTTATAAAATGGCTGGCTCATGGCTCTGTCCCCAGCACCTCTGACGCCGCCTCCTAGCCTTCGTTGGTGAGATAACCAGGAATAGTGACTCCATGCGTAAACAACAAGAATACTAACCAAGAAAACTAGCTTATCATGCAAATATTAAGGCATCTAGAAAGTCAGTTAAAATATATTGTCATAGAGACAGAACATCTATTTCCCAGCGGACTTCATGTAACAAAGGCTACGTTGCAGGGGCTGCATCAGTGAGAGATCATCGACCCTTTCCTGTGATTATAGTTTCAACCTTAAGGGAATTAGTGATTGTAAGTGCTGCAATGCTGGTCTACCGTCTTCTTCCTTCCGTTTCTCTCCTCCTCCCGTCCGTCCAGTCTTCTTCTTTTCCTTTGCTTTGAGTGTTTTTTTTTTTTCCCCTAATTTTCTTACACTATGGTTGTGTTTCTTCTCCCTCAGTTGCTTGTCTCCGCCTGAAGGAAAGGTTCTCCAATTATGTTCAAACCATAATTTTGGACATTTGCCGGTAAGATGGGTGTCCTATTTGACACTTGGAAAGGAACCAAGCTAGCCCAGGTACCAGGACTGTGGAGAGGAGAAGGGGAGCAGAGAAGGAAGGAAAAAAAAAAAGAAAAACATGATGTTAAAATCTCCAGTCACATCATAAGCATAAATTCTAAACTCTAAATGCATCAAATTATAACTACCGTATTTTAAATTCTTAAATTAAAATTTTAATAAGATTTAAAAATGAATAGCATGTGTTAACTGTGCAAAGTTATACATATTGTACATACATATGCTACATGCAATAACTTCTAGATTATACACACCATACAGATATATAATCTTTATGATCTCTTGCTTTCATGAAAAGACCTAAGATGCAGAAAAACGTGAAACAGGATACATTCACAACTGTTGAACTCTAGCTTATTAAGGACATTCTTTTTCAAATATCTGATATACTTCAATGTAATAAATGGAGTATGATTTTTATTGTTCAAACGAAGAAAAAGAAAAGCAGGAATTTCTAGTGATACCAGGCTATTGTAGTTTGCTAGATGTAGCTTAAAGTTTTCCTGTGTCTTGCCTGGCCTATGGTCAGGACAAATCTCTCTCACCCGCCGGTCCTGCAGCCGCTAGGACCCAAATAAACACAGGCTAATATTATTTTTAAACTATGGCCATGGCAGGCTTCTTGCTATCTAGTTCTTATATCTTAAATTAACCCATTTCTATAAATCTATACTTTGTCACGTGGCTCATGGCTTACCAGTTCTTTTACATCTTGCTTCTCATGGCAGCGGCTGGCAGCATCTCCTCTGCTCTGTCTTTCTCCTTCCTCTCTATCTGTTTGGATTTTCCACCTGCCTCTAAGCTGCCTTGCCATAGGCCAAATGGCTTTATTTATCAACCAATCAGAGCAACATATTTTCACAGCATACAGAAAGACATTCCCCCATCAGCTAGATACATTAATTGTGTTTAACCTTTAATTCATAAGACATTCTGAGTAAGATGGGTTTATCTGCCTACTAGGTTACATAGTTTAAAAATGTAATGAAGTATTATATATATACATATATATATGTATATATATATATATATATATCTCCTTTTCTCTCATGAGAAAATAATACATTTTCAGGCAAGTCCAAATATATTATGCAATTTGAAACACCTAATTATCAAACAGAACTGAAAACTTATAGACAATTAAATGGTGTCTATCCTGGACTGCATGGAGCCCAGTTTGTTGCATTCCGTGCAGAAGCCCATTGTGGAGAGTGCAGTACAGAGGGCTGTTGGGGTCTCTTGGGCTTTTCTGCTCTCCTCCATAATTTCCCTTAGATAGAACCAAAGCTTTCCTTTCAATTCCTTTTTCTTCACATTACTGGCAACAGAGGCCTGAGCATTCCCAGACTTTACCACCAGGAATGATAGCACATTTAAGACCTGAAAGAGAAGGGGAGTGACCTAAGCCAGCAGTCCTGTCTTGCCCATTGGCTGTGCAGCAGCCTACGTTGGCCTTGGGATTTAAAACAAGTTTGAAAACAATTTCTTCAGTTGCTTCTGGCATAATTTCTCATAAAAGTTTCATATAGAGAAAAGAAATGCCTGATTTACAGCACCACAAACATCCAGCCCAGACATTTTGGGCTATCCTAATCTGCTGCATTACTTGTATTGATATTCAACTTGAAGGTAATGTCAGCCACAGAGCAGCTGCATCGCTGTACCAAGGAAACATGACACAGACAGTTCTGCTCCTGGTTGAGCAATGGTCTGGTGTGGCCTACTCTCCATGTTTTAAATTTTATTTAGTATCCTCTACTGTTGGAACCATAGATGAGATGGATTCTATTATTGTAGTTAGAAATCTAGACATGCCTATCAATTTGACTCTTAAAGGTATAAAAAAATATCGTGGCAATAGCACAAAGAAACAATTTTTGCTGAAAAAAACCAGATACATAACATTTTTTTACTCTGAAGATACCTGAATATAAAACATGGCTTATTTCTACCTGTCTAGGTATATATTGTCCAGCAATGCTTCAACAGAAAAGAAACCAGTGACCTTTTTCTCAAGGGTTTTATGATTAGATGACCAGATCAACAGCAGCAAAACTTGACTTTTACTTTGCTAATCATTTAGTATACCATCTAGCATATGGCAGATATGCTACAAAATTTGGGACAAATAAATCAATGGCTTGAACTCATACTCAACTATTTTTAAAAAAAGCTGACCTTGATTACATGTATTTATAAACACATTGCCATCTGAGTATCTCTGAATTTAAAATGAGACACTCCATACCAAGTTTATGCAGAAAAAATAACACACCAACTTACATATCTTCCTTAGTTGATGAATTACCCTAACTCCAAAGACTGCATATTTTTACTGAAATCTTTTCTGAGAGACTTGACTGTTTTTCCACATATTTTCTCTCTTCCTACACACATCTTCAGCATTATTTCTGTAGTTGTAACATTGACTGGAACAATGTTATATAATGTGCCAAGAAACTTATTTCCACCTCAACTGTGCTTCACTGCACTCTGTACATAGTCCTATTACAGCATTTATTACATCATATCATAATCATCTATTATCTGCAATTATCTTACTGACTGAAAGGTGAACGCCACAGGGGAAAAAATGGCCCAGTCTTATCTATGCTTATAGAGTCTGGCCTTAGATGAGATTGTTTCTTAACAATAAGGCAAATTACAAAATAGCCATCTATTATTTTTAACCTAAAGTAAGCAAACCGTTTAGCTGAACAGATAATCCCTGGCAATAAAATACAGCATCAAAAACAAGCCACCTTGTGAAATCAACAAGAATCCCCAAATAGATGAGCTCCACAGAGTCATCTAGAGATTGAATGCTTTGGAGAGAGTGCATTAATGATTGAAAAAGAAGTGTGGCGCCTAAAAAGACAAATCTACCAAGTACTTGCAGGAAAGATAAGCATCCTGAACAAATGGCTGCTCATCACATACAGAGGATTCATGCTGAAGAATGTGTAACAAATTTAATTTAAATGTTTAGTTAATCCTTCTGAATCTCCTCACCTACATGATGGCCATACCAACACTGCAGAGTGGAGCATATTTGTCAATACTGTTTATGAATCTTTAGGGGAGAATCAATCTCAAATGGGAACACTATGCAGACTCCATATTTTAGTTTTACAAGCCTCTTATCACCAATCCATGGGTTAAGTTCAGAACTATAAGGAACATTCTTTAGAGCTTTCACAGCAATTCCCATAGGGGGAAAAAAACTGATAAAAGTAACTCAATGCCTATATAACAATGCTAAATGCTAAACCGAACTACTTCATTAATTAAAAAAATACAACACCTAAATTCTCATAGTTCTTCACTGAGAATGCACAAGCACCATCACACTGTGACTCCCAAATGAATGCCAATATCCACACCCACACATTCACATAGGTAGATTGGGTATTCATAAAATATGTCTTGGTTTTCATTCACGCAGGAGTGAAAATTATATGAATTATTTTATATTCAATTAAAAAAATCTATACTTTGACTAGTAAGAGTTTCACTATATAACTGAAAGGATTTCCAAAATATTCAAAACCAACTATGTGTAGTTTCAAGTTTGCATTTACTTTGTTATCATTAGATTTTCCAATGTCAAATCACCTTTAGATAAACTAAAGATGAATGTGACTGAAACCTGATGACATATATTTAGAAAACATTTGCTGCCCATACCCACTGGAAATAAAAGTAGTAAGAAAAGAATACAAGTGTGAAAAATGATGGACAAAAGATTCAAATCAAAAGATTTTGGCAGCACCATTAAACAAAACGCAGCTCATTCTGATGGCATGCATGATGAGATACCGTACACAAAACACACAAGAACTCAATCCAAATTTGAGAAACAAAATGTTGGATATCTTGGAGAATATATTCACTTTACTGTGACCATCTCTGTAAACTGACTCTCCCCAACAGGGAAGACATAAGTCTTTGACTTAGAAGATAGTCAGGGAGTGATGGCCTTGATTCCTTTTACACTGGAGTCTAGTCTTTGTTGAAGAAACTCAACGAATCATTTAATGAACTATTTCAGGGTAACAGGGAAAACATGGCGATTGAATTAGAAATGATCCAGAGTGAACAGAAGGTGCCATCTTTGGTGTTTTAGTTCTTGAAATGGCCACTATTATTCCCTCTCATGGTTAAGGGAACTAAGGCCAAACTCTCCCACATAGTTCTCAGATGTGAACAATTCTGTCTGTGTCCCATGGCCATTTCACTATGATATATTGCCTTCCTACAAAGTGACATGTTGGTCCAACCTTGGCAAGAACTTTTAGAACAGAATTTTCTTAAGGCAAATGTATTTGCTTTAGGAGTCAAAGAATTTGCCATATGTTCCCCAAACTATGTCAGAACCTAGTCAATGTTGGCAAAGGGATGGGTGCACTGAGTAAGCAGATGCTTTGTCAGAGGCAACAACCTCAAATTCTCTACATCTGTCTTCTCAGGAAGCAACAACAGTCCCCAGGTAACATTCTAGTGAAAGCTAAGAGGGAATATGGCTTGAAACAGTCAAGAAACTTGAGAAATACTCTATAATAGAGCCCAAAGATGTGGTAGACCATACCTTTAAAACTCACTCTATATGTACTTCTTAAATCTGGGTAAACTATGGTTCTTCCACTAAAGGGGTAAATAGAGTTCTTCTCTTTCAATGAAAGAGGAAAAAATTGCAGTGGGTACCAAAGCAACATCTGTTGGTCATTTAAGAAAAATTATTCATCCTGTGACTGTGCCTTCAAGGCCAAAAGTGATTGGTTCTTTGACTTTTTAGCACAATAGCCAACTAGAACTACAGAATGTTAAATAAACATGGACGAAGTCACTAAGTTGAGGCAGGATCCAAAGCAAAAAGCTTCACTTATTAGTCTTAGGGCACTAAAATAATGAGAGGTGTTTGACGAATGCCTCAATACATGTATTACTAATTGATGCTCATTTCATTATGAATTAGGCATTCCAACTGTTAGGTCATATAATGTCAG